CTACAATCACAATTATCATCATCAAACTGTATCTGAGATTTCTGGACGAAGATGCTACATTCGTGACGTTTGTAATGACACAGCAGCTGTTCGTCAACCGAGGTGTGCATTTTGTAGCTCCAACCTGAATGAATATGAAGAGTATATACAAATGTACCTGAAATGCCCGCCAGTGTTTTAGACTGAATGTTTTCATATTTTAAACCTGTGTCATACATGTGGAGTATACATGAAATAGACAACTTTATACAAAAACCCATAAACCTCCGCTACAAACATATCGTCTTCACAACAAGATCGACAGCAGGATTATGCTACTACTAGTGCCAATACTACCTTTAATGTTAATTCTGCTACTACTGGTACTACCACTACTAATAATATTAAACTAATTAAACCCTATATGACAACTTAATTTAACGGCGCTAAATTCCACACACTGTGAAAAAACTTCTACAGTTAGCCTATAGTGTGTGTTTTCTTCGATGAAAGGTTCGTTGAAAGAGTTCAATGAAGAGATGGCTGGCAAATAATTCCAAACTGGTAGCCAGACAGTTTTAATTCAAAGAAATCAGTTTACATTTTCTGAGGGTATAAACAATGTTGCTGGATGTGCTGTGTTGTAGAGGCTATTTATTTCCGGACCCCTCCTGTGTGATAAGCTCCCCAAGTCGTGTTCTATGTGTGAATGCGGACACATGTTCAGTCACTGCTGGGATTCCAGTAGAGTTCCAGCTGTCCAAACTCACACCATGGCTAAGAACAGTAACAGCCTTACAGCCGACACAATATCATGTATTGCTGGGATTGTCTGTAGAGAATACGGACCTGGCTAACATAAATGGGTGGCTGATAGTCTTTTATAGGCATTAGGAAGTTGGAAAAACATTAATTTAATTTTTTATGGATGACAAACCTTTATTATTCTTTGTGAAGATGTTTTAGAGCTATACCTCATACTTGAATTGTGAGTGAGCGTATGTGTGTGCGAGCGTGCGTGTGCGTGTGTGTGTGTGTGTGTGTGTGTGTGTGTGTGTGTGTGAAAGAGAGAGAGAGTGAGAGTAGAGATCTTGATATCTTTTCACCCGATATATTTAATGTTCAAAGATAACAATATAATGTGAGAGACTGACAGGAGTGAAGCCAGTTAAGTACAGTGATGGTGTAGTGATTTGGCTATTTGTAGTAACAAGAGGCTGACTGGTAACCGGAACAAGAAGGCAATCAAGATGTCCACTTAACGGCATGATTAAGCATAGTGGAGTACACTTTGGGTCGCTAGATGCCTTGGACTCTGAATGACTGAATTCTGTCTTTGTATTTCAACAGTTTCTTGTCGTTTCCTCTATTTCGTGTGACTGTTGATTGTATGGAGAATCGTAGGTCGCTGCCATTAGGTGTTCATAAAGGGCACATTTAATTTCATGTCAGTATTTTTACAAAAGAGGCCTTCTGTCTCCCCAATATGCTTGTCTCCGCAACTGCATGAGATGGCATACAATTATCCCCTAGGTTTTAGCGTGGACTGGACGGGACCTATTACCATTGGTGTGGATGATGTAAGAGTTTTGTCGGCGGTAAACATCACAACGATATGATGTTGGCTGGGTAATTTTAAATTATTTTTTAGCGTTTTCTGGGGCGGTGGGGTAGCCTAGTGGTTAAAGCGTTGGCTCGTCACGCTGAAGACCCGGGTTCGATTGCCCACATGGGTACAATGTGTGAAGCCCATTTCTGGTGTCCCTCGCTGTGATATTGCTGGAATATTGCTAAAAGCGGCGTAAATCAAACTCACTCACTCACTAAACGTTTCCTGATCTGATGACAGGAGGGATTCTGACATAGGTTGAAGGTGAGGATGTGTGGTGTGGCTGGTTTGGATCTGGAAGCGAGATTTGGTAATTTGGAGTTTTTTTTGTGTTTTCGGAATGTCCATTGCGGATAAGAACCGTGTGTTTAAGGTGCTGGATTTCTTCTTTGAGGCTGTTAGGATTGCATACCGGTATGGTGCGTCGGGAAAGGTGATAATTATGTCTTGTTTGATCTGGTGGTGGTGGTCTTTGATGTGAACGTTCTGATAGGTGGATGTGTTTCCTGTTGACAGCAGTGTGGAAGTTACTCTAACTGTTCTTGTCTCCTTAGAACTGACTGATGAACATATACCCGCACCGCCCGCGTCTGGTTAACACAAACCTGTGATCGATAGCATGAACAAATACCCACACTGTTCGTGTCTGGATAGAACAAACCTATGACTGATATTGTGAGCATGTCTGGTTAACACAATCGTGTGGTTAATAGAATGAACAAATATCCACACCGTCTAATAAGTAAGTGAGTGGGTTTAGTTTTACGCCGCTTTTAGCAATATTCCAGCAATAACACGGCGGGGACACCAGAAATAGGCTTCACACATTGCACCCATGTCGGGAATCGAACCCGGGTCTTCGGCGTGACGAGCGAACGCTTTAACCACTAGGCTATCCCATCGCCCTTTAATACGTAAGTACAAAGGTATGGTTGACAGCGAGAACACATCACGTTATCCGTATCCCAATTGGTTGACATAAACTAGTGGTTGATAATGTAAACACATACCCACGCTCAGTCGGTCGAACTCGGATAAGACGTTTTACAGGGAAATATCGATATTTGAACTTAATTCCGATGTTGGTATCCCGTAACTATAAAACTTCATTGTCATAAACCATAAATAGAGCATCTCCTCAAAGCGGATTTTGATATGAAATATATTAGCTCCAGTCGATAAAAGTCGAGAGCATTTTAGCCTTCGCCAGGAAATTTATAACTTTTATGGAGGAGAGGTGATATATCTAATGGCAAATGATACGAGGGTGAGATGCTATAAATTATCCCACGTTTTAAGCTAGTTTTTGTTAATGAGAAATGAACCTTTTATGACAGCGCTACTGTAGAGAAATACACCATAAGCATAGCGAGTTACACGTTGACATCAAGTTTAATGCTCACTAGATAAAGTTCTGAAAGAATATTACTGTTATTGCATTTCAAGGTGAACTTAACTCTTATAAGTTTTAGTTTAAGAGAGTTTAATCTTCAAACATATCTGCTGGTAATACTGATAACAGAAGGGCTGACATGTGACCATGTGTCTGATCACAAGCTGAGGGCAAGGTAGCACATAAAAGACGAAAAGGAAAAGATTTTCTGAAGATGGTTTTGCTACAGAATATGACCTTTATTAACAAACAACAAATCTTTGAAATGAAATTTGTTCAACATGCGACACAGACCGTTGAGATTGAAATGTTTTTGTACACTAATCCTTTTGACTTGACAAGATATGAAATTAAACCCAGCAATCCCTTTCATACAACATTCTATCTTTAGCTTTATCATTTTTACTTTATATTTTATAAAACTTTGACACGACTGAAAGAAGTAGCTATTACAGTTTTTATAAATCTTATATGATGTACGGAAACAATTCACTAATTTGAGAATGACAAACAGTCACTTTGACATTTAAGAAAAAAAATCGAAAACATTCAGTAAAACTAAGTGAATATTAGCCCTTTAGTAGCCAGTGCTACACACGCTGCTTAGATTAGTTCTTGTGTCCGTTTTTAACGCCACATGGTGTATCATTTTCCTCAATCTTCTCTGGGTAAAACTCTGTGATGATCCATCTGCCTCTCTCCTAGATGTACCCTGGAAGCTTCATGGCAATGCGTTGCTGTATGCGGCGTAACCAAACATTCACTTACATTCTGACAGCTGACATTCCTTTCGTCCCAAATTTGAATATTAACTTAATAATAATTTCGACTATGTGACGTAAATACCGTCGAGGATAAGTACCAGTTCCTTACTGTTTGTCCGCTGTACTCAGATCTTAGAAGAAAATATTTACCAAATCATGTTTATAGATATCCAAACGCTATTATTTGTCCGCTGTACTCAGATCTTAGAAGAAAATATTTACCAAATCATGTTTATAGATATCCAAACGCTATTATTTGTCCGCTGTACTCAGATCTTAGAAGAAAATGTTTACCAAATCATGTTTATAGATATCCAGACGCTATTATATTTACATTACTACTTACAAGTACAAAGGTTTCAATGCTCCAGAATTTAGTAATGTTTATATTCCATGCAACAGTACAAAGAAAAAAAAATATTTGAAAAAAACATGTAAATGTTACTACTCGTGTGAATACATATGTATGTATGTTTTTTATGTAGTTTATGCTTGTGGCCTCTTCATTACGCAATAAAGATTATCTGAGAATAATTTCGACGGCCCCATTTTCCTATTTATTTATGACATGTAAGAAAAAGCGACCCAGAAGAATTGCTAGATGCCAATGGGGCGTCAAGCGATAATGACCCACTCAGAGTTACCTCCCCTAGACGTGCTAGAATCCTGTGATCGTTGGTTTGAATCCCAGCCTCGCCATGATTGCATTTGTATGTTTATCAGGGCAATATAGGATAAACTTGTATGACTTGCATCACTCAAGTTCGGGCTTTCTCACAACTATGGATGACACCCTGTCAAGTAACTGAAGTGTTGTACAAAGCGGCCTAAAACAGAAGTCACCCACTCTCACCCATTAGTTACAAGGACTCTGAACCGATCACCTGTCAAGATTTACGTGGGTGGTCAAGCGGCCTGTGGCTTCCTCTCGATCAATGGCCCTATTGTTGGTCAATCACACATATATGATCTCGTTACGGATATTGACAATAAATCCTTATAAAGCACTCGATGCATTTAGCGACCTCGCTGTTGCCTTAGCGCCTGTAAATATCAAATACTTGACATGGTCTTTAGAAGGAATGACAGCGACGTGGGTTATTTATTGTGAGGTAATGGTAATTGTAAACAGCTGTTGACATGCGAAGTCTGATATGGACTTGAAATGTAGGCTGTCATTGACTTCGACGGCTTCACGACACATGAACGTCTTCATGGTGTGGGTGTAGTTGCTAGCCATGTTTTGTAGCTTGTTATTAATGATTGTACTTTTGGTTAGGCCACACAATAATATCTGCTTGTTTATCGCCCCCGACAAACACTGAAACAGCACGAGAAACTACTACGGATATTTTCCATCACGAAGTTTCACTTTTCAATGTAACCTGTCCCAACAAGCAGCCGATAGTTAGTGAGTGAGTTTAGTTTTACGCCGCACTCAGCAATATTCTAGCTATATGGCGGCGGTCTGTAAATAATCGAGTCTGGACCAGACAATCCAGTGATCAACAGCAAGTCTGACCACCCGATGCCTTTAGTCGCCTCTTACGACAAGCATGGGTTGCTAAAGACCAATTCTAAGCCGGATCTTCATGGGTCTCGTTCATTCTACAAATAAGTGAAGGACTTTTTTATTTGATTTTGGTGCATTCATCCATTTATGTTGGAAATCAGAATAAACAAATTTTGAAGTGCATAAATGTTTATTCGCCGGAACCCGGAAGTATAAGATGTGCAAATGACTGTCCGTGCAAGACAGCTTGTGTTGTATACTTCCTAGGGAGCTGAGAATGTACACTGAGGGCACAAGGATCTATTGTTAGCGTCTTGAGAATACAAAGAGTGTATGGAACCGACATGTATATACATTATTATTGTTTACTTTCTGTGTGTTTTTAATGGTGATTAACCAATTTTATTGCTCTGGCCTGTGAAGGTTTAAATCTTGTGAATCATGTTGTTGGCATAACAGTAACACACATCATCGATAACTGCCTCCGGTGCACTGACTGAAGCTAGATCATTCCCCATTTCACTATTTAAAACCCTCCAAAATAGGTGGGGCGGTGGGGTAGCCTAGTGGTCAAAGCGTCCGCTCGTCACGCCGAAGGCCCGGGTTCGCTTTCCCCCATGGGTACAATGTGTGAAGCCCATTTCTGGTGTTCCCCGCCGTGATATTGCTGGAATATTGCTAAAAGCGGCGTAAAACCATACTCACTCACTCCAAAATAGGTTTCCGTTTTGAAATAAACATTCAGTACTAGGGTAAACATAATCTTTAAACGATTTAACATCGAAGGCCGAGAAGAACGTGTGTCATATTTGCGTTGTTCATTGCCCAAGTTATTGATTTCGCCTAAAACTGCCAAGCCACGTCACACTATGCCGTAAAAGCTGAAATTAGGAATGTCGAGTTCTTTACAGTTTTAACATTTTAAAGTTCATTCGTTTTGTTTTGTAAATGAATATTTGCTTGGTATTATAGAATTGTTTAGCAGTTAACAAAATCTTGGAAATCTATGTGTGTTATCCACCTCTGCCTCTGTCTTGATACACTATTTTTTTATCATCGTCAACGTCAATCACCAACACCATCACCACCACCACCACGCCATCATCATCATCTTCATCAACAACATCCTCTTCATCATCATCATCATCTTCATCATCATCAACATCTTCATAATCAACAGCTTCTTCTTCATCATTACCACATCATGACCATCACCACATCGTCCTCTTCTTCTTCTTCATTTTATTTATATTTTCTCTAGTGTTTGATTGACAGATAACAATATATGTTTCTGGGGGTAATGAGCTTCAGGGAGAAAAATCAGCATTGTGGTGATGCTTTTACTAAAGTGACAAACATGTAGGCAAACCTTAAATGATCTCAAACTTAATGTGTACAGCTTTCAGGCAGTTCAACAAATGAACACAGAACCAATTTTAACATTTTAAAGTTCATTCGTTTTATTTTGAAAATGAACATTTGCTTGGTATTACAGACTTGTTTACATCTAGCAGTTAGCAGATTTTGAAAATGTATGTGTGTTGTCCACTTCTGACAATCATCAACACCATCAACACTACCACGTCATCATTATCGTCATCTTCTTCTTCTTCATCATCATCATCAGCAGCAGCAGCAGCAACATCACCACAAAATCATCACCATCACCATCACCATCTTCTTCATTTTATTTATATATTCTCTAGTGTTTGATGAACAGATAACAAATATATGTTTCTGGAGTAATGAGCTTCGTGGTAAAACTCAGCATTTGGTGATGTTTTTACTGAATGTGACAAACATGTACGCAAGCCTTAAATGATCTCAAACTTAATGTGTACAGTTTTCAGGCAGTTCAACAAATGAACAAAGACCCAATTTCCGGAGATCACCTCCATACAAATAGATCGTACAAGCAGGCAATTTTCACAAAACTGTATCTCTGGGTATTAAGAAAACAACAATGGAATTGATTTTGGCCTTATTCACGTTCCCCCTCGAAGCTTGACGATTTAATTTTGAAGAATAATGTAAAACCCAATCCCGGAGCGGTGCACAATTTCATTATGAATGGCTGTATAATTGACAGATCCTACCGTGCGAGTGTCTTCATGAAGGAAAGACGTGCATGTCAGTCTTGAGGTGAGTGGCACTTAGCAGAGTGGGACATGCCGGGTTTGAGTGGTGGCTTGCAGATTTGTGTGGAACTGAAAAATACGAGAGACTTGGATGTCAGGCCCGTTTCTCATGATCTCAAATTATTGGCCCTTGATTTTTATCAGCCAGCTTTTTTTGCTAAGCTTCCCAGTCTAACGGACCAATCAGAATGCGAGTTACAAACCAGCTTAATTGATGGGTTGACGGTATATGCAACCTTACAGTCAGTGTCATTGGTTATGACAGAGCTTGTGAAAATTTCAACACTAAGACTTGACTGACACTCTAAAGAAAGTCCTGAAACATGCTGCTTCCGTGTAAATAAAGAATGGTGGTGGTTTTGGTCAGTGCGAGTTTTCCCCCGTACCCTTGTTATCTTCCCTATCTCGTCGTTTGATTGGTCGGTAAAATGTTATTAAAAATTAAAGGTGGGAATATCAGATCCATATTGAATGGAGCCAGGGTGAGGTGAGGTGAAATTGGGTTTAACGTCGTGCTTGAGAATATTTCGCTCATATGACGACGTGCATGCGCGTGTATGTGTATGTGCGGCTGCTTGTACTAGCCCAGACTGAAGCCCAGACTTTTATAGTGCTAGCCCACTGAGATACCATGCCGCAGTGAAGCATGAATACCCCACTCAGACACATTATACTGACTCCGAGCCGACCAGTCTTTGTTATACCCATTAATGCCGAGCGCCAGGCAGGGTCCAACAAGTACCATATTTTAACGTCTTTTGGTATGACACGGTCGGGGATCGAACCCGCGACCTTCCGCTCTCCGGGCGGACGCTCTAACCACACCATGGAGGCGGTCCGAATGGAGCCAGAGGGTAGTGTCGGTTTACCAAGATGCAAACACTTGCGTAGACTTGCTCTTAGCCTCTGAATATATATACTTTTGATAGTAACAAATAATCCCATTTAAATTGAAAAGGAGCCCGAGTCGGTGGATAATTCAAAACCTGTGGAAATCTAGACTTGCTTCATTTAGTGCTTCAGCACTACAGGGGAGGGCTAGGCTGTGGGGAAAATAATGTGGTTCATGGACTGTGACACAGACTAGCACTAGCATGTTATCAATAGTGTTTTAATTAATTTCACAAGTGTTACAATTTGCCATTTTTCAAAGAGTGGAATCTAAGTTTATGAATTATTCCATGGTTTCTCAAATTGAAGATTTCTGTACAGTGGTTTCTCAGCATGGTAATTTCCTTTGTGGGTGTTTGGATTTGTAAACTAACAAAGTGTCATGTCCTAGCCGAGAGACAGAACTGTGGTTTCTAAATTTGTAGGTTACACTGCGTGTTTTATTCAGTTACTGAATTTCAGCTTTGTGATTTCTCAGTTTGCTTACCTCATGGTCATTAGACTGGTATCTCGGGCAAGTTGGGCTGACATCACGGATATGTTGATAGCGATACTTGTTGTAGGTTGTGAGATGGTTGAGCGCTAGCATAACCTGGTGACTAGAGCTCGCCTCGACAACCCGAGTTCGAATCGTGTGATATGTGAAACTGGAATATTGCCATGGTATAAAAACCAACTCGCTCATTTGAACACCTTTGAATATGTAGTGAATCTAAAATCCTTTGATCAGAGTCGCTGATGTGTTTGGACATTGAACATATAAGTTTATTGACTGATCAACCGCCATCCTCGATAATGAATGGTATTGTGTCTTCTGTTTATTGTGATCAATACGGTCGACCCAGTCTCAACCATAGCCTCGTTTTGAGTCTCACTCGACGATAAATATAACTGTCCAATCAAATTACACTGATGCGTGAGAGGAATTCTACTAAAAGCGCAACTGATGAAAGAGGAAGAGATAGCGGGCTCTCACCCCAAGCAAGGTGCGTCAAAGAGTTGGTAGTGTTTTATTATCATAGAATGAAGATGCATCATCAAGATCTGGCAGGCAATCAAGCCGTTTTCTGACTTTAGACAAAACAAAGACAAGTTCATGCTTCTCCTCCCGTGATCAAATTATGATCATACGTCTAGTTTTTGTTTCCCTCTAACAGAAATAAACCTTTCTTCAAAAAAATCCCTCCTTGGCACAACAACGCAGAGTTTCCTGACATGCAAAGTCATTAACTATATTTCTGGTCGTCACGTCCGGTTACATTCAAAAGTTAAACTTCGAAAAATGAAAAATATAATATTGCGGAAACGGATCTTGGTGAAATTTAAATAGAAATCCGATTGCTTTGATCGGTAGTCGATGGAAACCAGCACGAAACATGTGGCCGATTTGTCAGAAGGTGATCGGTGTGTGGTTCGCTAATTAAATGGAGCTGCAGCCGAATGCCTTTGGGCATGTGGAAGGGGAACGACGAACCAATGATGATGATGATGATGATGAGATAAAAATCAATAAATTTCACATCCTATTTTTAAAAAAACCGGGTACTTCCTATTGCGCAGGCTGAATAGCAAATACAATAGGCCTGTAAGTCTCGCAAGGCGCTACTTCAGGTACTAAGCTGGTTCCCGGCTCCCTTTACACGCCAACTTGCGATATGCGAGACGGGGCCAAGCTTACATCCGGTACCACATTTCCGGTGACAAGCATATATTCAAGCACCAG